CTCTCACACCATTTTCCTTTGTTCCGTATCTAATATCTCTTCCGGTAAACTGTTGAAAAAACCTTTGATTACATATTGATGATCTTGATATTATAACGACTTGGATAAAGAATGCACAAGAAGGAAGAGAAAAGAAAAGCAATTAGCAAATCGTACTAGAATTCTATGTTACAAGACCAGCAATCAGTCCCCTAGGCCCACGCTGCTTCAAATGACAGGTCCCTGGAATACTATCAACTTGGTTTTACTTTTTGCCATAAGGTGTCCCTAGTCCTGGTGAAGATCCTCGGCAGGTGGTGGGGCAAATCCTACATTTGTCGGCCGTGCCACCACAACAGGCTCATCGGGAAAAAGTGCTTTGATAAATGATGGTGTCTTTAAGGGCCGACGACCAGTCATTTGTGGGTAAACGTCTTCGAGAAAGTAGTAGGCATGGCCAGCAATCATTCCCTGCATTAAAACCGAATCTAAGGAATTAGCATATGTTAAAATTTAGTGTAAATAGTCCTCACAACAAAAACGATAGGAAACCAGAAGTTGGTTATTTATGGATTTTTTCCCCCAAGTAACATGCACAGAAACTTGGATTGTAACTATACGTTCACTGTACTGTGAATGTTGACTTTAGATTTGTCGGTGAGGACCACACTGTAGTTAGAACAGGTAATTAATCACATTAATCAAAGATGTGGCCAACTGAACCAAGGTCGTTACAGTTGTAAATATTAGTAGGGAAGGGATGAATTGCAGGACCCTATTTTGATATCTCAACAAGTGCAAATACGTACCAATAGGTCAACCCAAGCACTGGCTCCAACAAGGACAGAGAATCCCAGAAGAACCTGCAAGAACGAGAACGAAATAGAATTAGAAATAGTTATATGGAATGTCTGAAAAGCTCAAAAAATTTGATTAGATCCGTGAGTCGCCGTCAAATTAATACCAAAGAGCAAGCTCAGCAAATAGTTATATAGCAAGATTATTAATCACTTTAAATGAAACATTGATTCAACAGTGTACTTTAAGAAGGCATTGAAGCCCACTGACCCATGGTAAGTAAGCTGCTGTGAAAGTGAAAAGGCCCAGGAAACTCATGTGGATAAAGGGATTTTGCTTGCTCCACACATAAACCTGTAAGATAGTAAATGTAATAACATATCAGAAACATCTGTAATCCTTGCAGGAAAAATGCATTTACATTAAGTGATGAAACTAACCATCATAAATGTTAGTGAGTTGCTGAGGAATATAATTTTAGCAAACGATTCTGAAAGATAAGGTATCATCCCGCCGACAAGAACGATCCCAGTTAATACAGAGGCACCAAATAAGAGCATGTAAAAGAAATCAGCAGTCCTTCCCCTGAAGGAGTTCTCTTCAAGAAGCTTGCAGTATCGGGCAAGAAAGAACATGTGGAACATAAAATCCAAGTCTGGCATTGACAAGATAAATGATGTTAAATAGTTGAATTAAATCATCAATAGTAGATGACTTTAAGCACAATTGGACTAAACTAATTATCAGCCTAAAAGCCGATAATTAAGTGACATAACATGTGCACCGAGACTAAGGTGGAAAAGAGAAACA